AACTCCTCCCCGCTACTTGTATCAGTACTCCCCAACATGTGCCTCTCCCACCTTCATGTCATTGCTTTTTGTTTTATAATCCAGTGAGTCCAGTTAGTGCTACTTGCCTTCACATAGGCACTCTGCCAGTGTCCACATCCCAAAGAAAAATTTCTTCTCATCCTTCAGCAGCCATCAACTGCCAATAGCTCTCAGCCATCAGATGGGGTGGAGTCTCATGAATCCCTTTCCCGCATCTGTGCTAGAATTGTTGATTGGCTTGGTTTTCTACAGGTAACCATAGCTGCTTTGATTAATAATGAAATGATGGTGCCCTGTCCTGAAAACAGCATTTCACCAATTTTGTATTTCTAAACACTTGAATTTTAGCAGTTTGATTAATTTTAGGATATATCTATTATTTGAGAAGAGGCCCATAAATAAGGTTTTATTCCCATTCTATGAGAGAATATCCTAAGACTTTAGCACCTAAGTGACTAAGTTATTAGTGTCATGATAAATATTTTTAGGATATAAGGCATTTTTTAATTATCTAAATAAAACTGTAGTAATTAAAAATAAAATTAAAGCATGACAGTCAGAGCTGTCACCAGCAACCTTGACTTCTATAGAAAATTCCCAGCAGTGTTTTGTTCCAGTCCTTTAGTTTTCTTCATTTGATTCTAAAGCCAGACTGAAGTAAGGATGGGGACCAGTGAGCCTTGATCAGTCAGTCTTACTGCTCAGAGGAATAGGTACATGGTCTGGTGACTGGTTTCATGTGGGTTTTGAGTTCAGAGAATTCCTAGAGACAGCTTGAAATCGGAGGTTGCAAATTCATCCTATGTAAATTGATAGTGTAGGCATTGTAGATTCTTATTAACATTCCTGCATATGCATTTGTATGCGTGTGATTACAACCAAATCAGTTCAGATGTGGAAGTCAAGTGATAGCTTATGAGAGTTGGTTCTCTCCTCCCACCATGTGGGTTCTGGGGGATCAAATTCAGGTGGTCAGGTGTGCTGGCAAGCACCTCTTCTTGTTAAGTCATCTGGTCAGTAGGCAGAGTTCTCACCCTTTCACCCCGTCTTTCATTGGAAATACTTTTTAAGGAGCTGTTTTTTGCCTAGAGGTGTACTTTTTTTTTGGCAGTGAGGGTGGGGTCAAGGTTGGGGGTATAGATAGGGTTTCCTGTGTAGCCCAGGCTGGACTGGAACTTGCAAATATGTCTTCTGATCCTCCTGCCTCAGACTGGCAAGATGCTAGGATTATACCATGCCCAATTTCAAGTTTCTCCCTCCCTCCTTCCTTCCTTCCTTCCTTCCTTCCTTCCTTCCTTCCTTCCTTCCTTCCTTCCTTCCTTCCTTTCCTTCCTTCCTTCCTTCCTTCCTTCCTTCCTTCCTTCCTTCCTTCTCTTCCTTCTCTCCTTCTCTTCCTTCTCTTCCTTCCCTTCCTTCTCTTCCTTTCCTTCCTTCCTTCCTTCCTTCCTTCCTTCCTTCCTTCCTTCCTTCCTTCCTTCCTTCCTTCCTTCTCTTCCTTCTCTTCCTTCTCTTCCTTCTCTTCCTTCTCTTCCTTCCTTCCTTCCTTCCTTCCTTCCTTTCTTCCTTTCTTTTCTTTCTTCTTTTCAATCCACATATTAGCACCATCTTTAGGAGTATATGGTAGTATTTTGTTCTTTGTTCTAATATCTTGACTAGACTGTCTTTTGAATTTCACATTAATTATGTAAGTGAGCTTAGATTATTTAACCATAATTTTTCATCCATCTGTGTATTTCTTGGATTTATGTTTCTTTTTATCTGATTTTTGTTTTTTGAGGGGGCATTGAAGTTTGTTTACATTCTATACTGCTTTTAGGTAGCAATTGACAACTTTACTCATTTCCTAGTGGCCTATTTTTGTGTACTTGAATGCAAGCCAAAAGTACAGTGTATAAAGATGCAGGCCTCAGAGGAAATTCTGAATCTATTTCTCTGAGCAGCTAATTCAGGAGAGGCCATAGTCCACACATTAAGTCCCTAAAATGTGATGGCTAGACCTGCCACAAGAATGGTGCTTATGTAGTAGGACTTCCTTCAAAGTTCATCTTTCCCTGTACTAGTGACATGCTACTTGTAGCTGAAAGCAGTCAGCTGTCTGCTTACAAAGGCACATACTCTATAGTTTAAGGTGCTGCTGAACATGGCTGTTTGTCTGCTCAGAAGGGCATACACTGTATAGTCTATGGTGCCACTGAGCATGGCTGTCTACTCAGAAGGGCACACAGTGATACTGTATAGTATATGGTGCCACAGAGCATGGCTACTTGGTAGGAATGTTGAAATTCATCCATAAATTTTGGCATTTTGAATTCATGAGGGGCTTATCAGGATACAACCCATTTTAAGTTCAAGGAACATCTGTATTCTCTTGTGATTCAGAGACAGAGTTTCTAGAAGTGAGGGCAGGATGTTTCAGACTATTTGTTGTTGTAGATTTTAGATGTATTATGAGTATGTGTTAGATCCCAGGTATTGAGTTTGCACTCATTTGCTCTGGGAATTTGTTGAACAGGTGATACTGAAGTACAGTGTGGGACAGTGTAGATGCTGGTCATTGTTGTTATGAGTTCCCCTAGTTCTTCCAATACTGTATTAGTCCTAAGAAACAAGTCCAGTAGGAGATGATTCTAGGGACTGGCTTAGATGCATGCTAACAAAGACCCCACATCTGGTGAGTTGGCAAGCAGGAGACTAAACTTGCTGAGAGTATTGTTCTAGTCTTGGCCAGAAGGCTCAACACCCAGGAAGAACCTATGCTCCAATTTAAGTCCAAATACAGGAAAAGCCAGTGTTTTAGTTCAGGGTTCAACAGGCATTTAAAAAAAAAAAAAAACTCTAATTAAGCTTTTTGTCCGTTCAAGCCTTTCACTGATTGGATAAAGTCTGACCACATTGAGGACAAGTCTTTCACCATGTCTGCCAATGTAAATGTTATCCCAAACCAAGAATTATCTTGCAGAAATGTTTGTCCAGGGAGCCAGTGAGCTGGTTCACTAGGGAAAGGCACTTTCAGGTAAGCCTGATGACTTTAATGTGATTTCCCGACCCACATGGCAAAAGGAGAAAACAATCCCTGCTGTTGACCTCTGACCTACACATGCACATTGTGGTACATGGTGCATGCACACGTGCACTCTTAATTTTTCTTTCTCTAAGTAAGTACCGTAAAACTTAAGAAATATTTGTCCCAATGTATAAGCACCCCATGGCCCAGTGACACAGTCAAGTCCACATGTAAAGTAACCATGACTCACAGTTGACATTCTCTAAGATTTATCTACCATATAGTTAAATTGAGACTGTTTTACTGTGGAAAAAGAAATTTAAGAGACTTGTCTTTCTAATCCTCAAAAAAAAAAAAAAAAAATCCCCTTAGTAAAGCTTTTAGGAATTACTATATTGTAAACATCTTGGCTTGCTGTTATATATTCTAGGATGAGCATGTCTTTCATCCAAATAGAGAAATGAATGAACAGGCTGAGTCATTTATTATGAATCAGTTGAATTTTTGAGACTGTTTTACTATTCTAAAATTTTAGCAAAAGCTAATTGTTTTCTTGTTCTAACTCTGTCATAAGGCTTTTTGTTTGTTTGTTTGTTTTTGGTAGTGAGTATGTACATACAAATATAACCAATAATTGAAAGTGTAAAATCCAGTGTGACTGATGTTCCACAGCTTTGGAATGGCTATTCTAACTGTATATGTGTTCATTGAGATATGTAAACTTTGGATTGGATTAATTTTGTGTGTGGTGTTTTTATTTGAAATTTTTAAAGAAAGCTTTAGTAAATGATTTAGCAAAAGAAATTAAACATTAAATTCTTTTAAAAATGAAATATTTTAAGTGTCTAGGTTATAGTAGAAACTTTCTTTAAAAACATCCTTCATGATGAGCACATTCAATTTCTTTTGGTCATGTAAATAGGATTCAACTAGACTTTTCCCTCATGTCTAGCTCACAGCTCAGGTCTATATGTATAATCAGAGGTGGCTGACTGAAATATTCTAGGGCAGACTGTTAACATTTGAAGATAGATTTAGCTTTCTATTTTTTTTCCCTTTTTTTGAGACCCTATCTCTATAGTCCAGATGGCCTTACCTCACGTGTAGTTAAAGCTATTCTTGCTCTTAGTCTCCCTGTCTGCATGTCTCAGGTGCTGGGATTATAGTTGTATACCAGGATGTTCGGCCAGACAGGATTTTTCATTTTTATTTTTATCTATTATCTCTCTCTCTTGCTATCTATCTATCTATCTATCTATCTATCTATCTATCTATCTATCTATCTATCTATCATTTGTTTTTTCAAGACAGGGTTTCTCTGTGTGTAGCCCTGGCTGTCCTGGAATCAGTCTGTAGACCTGGCTGTCCTCAAACTCACAAAGATCCTCCTGCCTTTGCCTCCGTGAGTACTGGGCTTAAAGGTGCACACCATCATACCTGACTTCTGATTTTGTGTGTGTGTGTGTGTGTGTGTGTGTGTGTGTGTGTGTTGTTTTCTCCTATCTTTGAGGTAAGGTCTAATGTAGTTCCTGCAGACCTTGAACTTATTTTTTGTTTTTTTTTGAGACAGGGTCTCACTAGGCATTTCCGCTTTTCCTGGACTCACTATGTAGACTAAGGTGGCTTTGAACTCACAAAGATCCATGAGATCTGCTTCCTCTGCCTTCTGGGATTATAGGTGTATACTGTCATTTCCTTACTTATGTTACAATCTTAAATCAAACAGCAGCCCATCTTTAGCAGTTCAGTAACTAGAAGTGGAAACCAGCTCTGCAGTCAGAATGGCAGAGTTCATTCATTTGTCAACCTTGGGATATGTAGTTTATTTGTTGAATTTTGACCTTGTTGGTTATTTTTATTTCAGGCAGCAAATAACTTAAGTTCTATGTATATTTTCAATAATGTTAAAAAACAACTTTCCCTTGCCTTCTCACAGATACTACATGTCTTAATTGTGTATTTTTTTTTCTTATAGGCTCAGATTATTCATCAGCATGGTTGCCTGGTAATGAATCATTGTGGCAGGCCACAACTGTTCCATCCAACCATCGAAGTAACCATATTAGAAGGCACAGTATAACATCGGACAGTGGAGATACTGGCATTGGCACTTCCTGTTCTGATAGTGTGGAAGGTAAGCTAATGTAGAGGAAAGTAAGGTAATGGAGAATGGTATGAACTGAGATTATTCAAGAGATGATTCTAAAGATTATAAGGTAATATTTCGGTTGTTAGTAGTATTCAGTGTTGCTCCCTATTAAATATCAAATTAAAAATTCTCTGTTTACATTCCATTTCCTCCTGCATTCAAAGATTTTCATTTTTATGTGCATTTTCAGAGCACCAGTAAAGTTTATTGAATATTAAAATGATTCCCTGTATATTCCTTGTCCCCACACATGTACACCCTTCCCTGTTATTACTGTTCAACCTTATAGTTGGTGAACTTGTATTGCCACTTATTGCCGTATTAGTTACTTTCTGTTGCTATGATAAGACACCATGACCAAGGCAATTTCTAAAAGAAAGAGTTTGGGGCTTACAGTTCCAGAGGGTTAGTATCTATGAAGGGGGAATAAGTTAATGGGAGATAAGCTGCTAGCACACTAGCTGAGAGCTCACATCTTGAGCTGTAAATAGGAGGCAGAGAGCACACTGGGAAGGATGAGAATTTTTTGACACCTCAAGCCTGCTCCAGTGACTCACTCCCCTTCCTCTAACAAGACCATACCTCCCAATCCTACCGAGTAGGGGAGTAGGGACCAAGTGTTCAAACATTAGAGCCTATGGGGATCATTGTCATTTGCATGCACCACAATCTCACTTTGACAGTTAATCTTCATTGTAGCCTTAGAGGAATTTTTAATTACCTAGAGACACAACTCTGAGGGGGTCAGATTTTTGAGGTTATTTTCAGTATAGTTTAACTGAAGAAGGAAGACCTGGGTCCTGGAGAGAGAGAGACAGATAGACAGACACACAGACAGGAAAGATAAGAAGAAACATGATATGAAAATTTTGGGAATTATCAGATTAGTAATTTAAATAATTGTTAGCATCTGGGCATGGTGGCCCATATCTCTAATTTTAGGGTTTGGGAGATACAGGCAGGCAGATATCTGTGAGTTCCAGGCATCCAGAGGCTACATAGTAAAACTTTGCACCCTCATCCTCATTTGTTAAATTTGTTAGTAGGCCTCAAGCAGCCAGACACTAAATTAGCATATGAGAGCAATCTAGAAGATCCACACAGTCTTTGGAAAGGCTTGGGTACTGCAATTCCAGGTTTTCTAGGCTGCTGTTGTGAAGTCCCTTCTACAGTCTATTTTTATGCAAAGCAGAAGGGAAGATTCACCTTTATCTCCTTGAAGGGTTTAGAGACTGTCTAAAATGAGGATGTTGAAAATCCCTTTCCTTCAAAGGCCTAAGGGGAAAGGCATGGCTTTTTCTGGCAACCTATGGCATCCTTTCCTGTTATTTGTCTCCTTTTCATGACCCCTTTGTCTTCAGATCTTTCTCTTTCTTTTCCTTATAAGGTAGATTACATTTGAAAATACCAGTCAATGACATTTGTTTCTAACTAATCTTGTCTGACTGATATATTAATTTTGATTTTATCTGCAAAAGACTGATTTTCAAATGAACTCATATTTACGGGCTTATGGGGCAGGTGGAGGGGCACAGATAGACAAGCGAGAGAGAGAGAGAGAGAGAGAGAGAGAGAGAGAGGACAATTTTATTCTATCGTAAGTATGATATGACACATTAACAGACACAGTTCAATCCATGACACTCTATACAGCTTATGAGGTTGAACAGAAAGTTATAAAAAAGTTCTAGAGAGTGAGTAGTTTGAATTAAATTTAATTTAAAAAATAAAGCAGGGCTGCTGTGCTCAAAGCTTTAAACAATATTTTTGGTTACTTGTCTTCACTAATAAACTTTAATAAAACTAATAAAATTAATAAAAGTTATAATAAACATACTGATGTGGATAAGATAACGGACCAGAGATTTAGAAGTTGCAGAGTGGATTCTCTTTTTTCTTAGGGTTATTTTAAAGTTTGTGTTTTTAGCAACTGTTTACTTCCTTCATTTTAGAGGTTCCAGTGTAATGCTTTCTAAGATAGATAGTTACTTGAGATCCAGAGAAAAATTCTGTAGCTTGTGAAGCTTTGACTTAAAAGCTCAATAACTGTATAGTGAATTCTTTTAGCTCAAAAGGATATAATATTAATCAGGAAACTATAGAACTGCCCAGTTGGAAGCCTTCTTTACTCAGTTTAGTGAAGGGAACTTTAAAAATATTTCTTGTGTATCCCAGGACCTGTGAAGACTGGGGTGCTGTCCTCCTCATGACAGTGTCTAGAGAACAGCTGAAAACCCTTCCTGAGAAGACTATAGTTTTCATGGTTTCCCGAAGTGCTTGGATTTACCTAATGATAATGATTTAAAATTTCCATTAGTTTGTGTTTTAACTTTTAAGCTACTTTATAACTATAATTTTGCTACTGTTATGAATCACATATTAGATACCCTGCATATCAGATATTTATATTGATTTGGTACGCAGGAAATCTAACATGTGACCCCAAAGGGGCCCTTATCTTCAAATTGAGAACTACTCTCCTAAAAGATAGTGTTATTTTATTATTTCATGTGGATGAAACTATCAAAATATGAAGACAGGGCAAGTTGGGCAGAAATTTTAGGAAAGGATAAGGAGTATGAAGAATTGTGACTAAGATCGAAATAAGACTATAGAAGACTGAATATGGATAGAAGCTGGATATTTCTGTGGAAAATGAATCAGAATCATGGCTTGAATGATGAATTTTACTGTAGTTTAGTGAGAACGCCCCCCATAGGCTCAGATGTTCAAATACTTGGTCTCTGGTTGGTGGCTCGCTGCTTGGGTAGATTTCGGAGGTGTGGCCTCACGGGAGGAAGTGTATCGCCAGGGGTAGGCTTTGATGTTTCAAAGCCATGAGCGATTTCCAGTTCATGCTCACTGCTTGTGCCTGTGGTTTAAGATGTGAGCGTTCAGCTTTCTGCTTCAGCCACTGTGCCTCTGCTTTGCCATTTTGAACTTTTATCCCTCTAGAACCATAAGCACAAATAAACCCTTTTATAAGTTGCCTGACAGTACTTACTTAGTAGGAAAGGCTACTGTCTTATTTGATGTAATAATTGATTCTTAGTGTATATTCCTTCTTCTGAATTTTTGTTATGCCTTTCATGATTTCTGTTGCAAGAGAGCTATAACTGTGTTGTTATCTCCTGTGTTCTTTGGTAAATGACCCCAAGTCCAAAGGTTTATAAATGTTCTTTTTCGTTGTCAGTTTTGCTTCATGGAATATCTTTTTAGTGTAAAGGGCTATGGAATATATTTTTAGTGTAAAAATAACTAGTATGGAGAATTGCTGAATGCTGTGACTAGCCTCATGTTAGAACACAGTTTAATAGATCTATATTTATAATATAATGTGAGCTTTAAAGTACACTATCTTTTGGATTGGTTAATTAAAGTGTCATATGAGTGTGATATATGTGCTTTACACACTCAATCCTTGGTTCCGTAATTGCCACCAATTAACCAGAAGTCTTTTTTTAAATTTTTTAATTTATAAAATTAGTCTGTGCTTGCTTACCTAGTTTTTCTTTTCTCTTTCTTTCTTTCTTTTCTTTTCTTTTCTTTTTTTTTTTTTTTTTTTTAGCACTGGTGGTTGACCTAGGGTTTTGCACACATTAGGCAGTGTCTGACCGTTGAGTAATCTGTTGGCTAATCTACACTTTTAATCATATATTTCTGAAGAGTAGAGAACGACCTCCAGATTATTTAGCTCCTCTCCTATTCAAAAGCTTTGTACTATAGCCTCTACTTGAGGGGTTCTTCCCATGGCATATCATAATATTAATTTCTTAACAATCTACATTTTTAAGTGTTAGCAAATGTAATCTGAGCTTATTTTAAAAATTCAGATAAAACAGTCTATAAAATATTTTAATAAGCTATCATCAGGTCATTTGTTGGTGACACATCCAAATAATATTATACTATGTTTTATAATTCAGAGATTTAGCCTATTATAGTTTATTTTGGGTCTGACTTATTCTAGCCATTATTTCTCTTTGTCTGTAAGACAGTTGTGGTTGAAGATGCCAGTTTAATTTTTGAGTATAGATAAAAGTACATGTTATAGTTTTTAAACTTTGATTCTGTGGTACACTGCTTTAATACTAGGTGTGTTAAGTCAGTCAACAAACATTGAACTGTCCCAAACAAATTACAGAGGTGGGTTTTCAGGTAGTTCATTTATTTGTAAAAAAAACAAAAACAAAAACAAAAAACAGCACTACTTTGTCCTTACTGTAATGCACTACTTCTAGTAATCAGTTTGGGGTTATTTTTTAAGCATACTTATAATAAAGGTACAGGTAGAGTAAAGGTTTTGCTTTTAGCCAATTTTCTTCGAGGTTAATTTTCTCCAATCAATTTCATTTATCCTAAATAAACAGTTCCAATAAAAATGAACTCCTGTTTAGTCATATCCTTATTAGTTGTTTTACTACTAATAGGCCCTTTAATACTTTGTATTCAGAGCTCATTCTGTGTGAGAGGAGTCATGTGATATATTGGGTTCTCTGTGGTAAAGGTTTGCTCAGTCATTGATTTGCTTAGATGTTACTTAGTGTCTTCTGTGTCCGATACAGTGCTAGGGTCAGAACTGAAGCAGCTATTTCTCCTTGTTGTATATATATGGTCCAGTGGAGAAGAGGGCAAGTGTAAAAGAGATAAGCAGTCTCATAAGTGAAGCAATGCTGGGAGGTAAGGGCAGATGTCCAGTGGTGGCTGATGGTGAATTTTTATGTCTTGTGGTTTCCAGGAAAGACTGAGTGATGGTTGAGCAGTCAGAAGATGGTAGGTGCTGGCTGGGCAGGCTTAGGGCAGTGAAGCCTAGGTGGAGTGATCAGCTTGGTCATAGTCTGGAAGTTTATGTGCTAAAGTGAATGATAGAACAATGATAGAACGAAAACTCAATTGGGTGTCAAGAGACTGCTTGGTATATTTGAGTAACAGTTGGTAAGTTATTCACAAGAAGAGACAGGAAAAGACGCAAACAAGATCACTCAAGAGACAAAAAGAAAACACACCTTCTCTCCACCCCTCTTGTCTTTTTGTACAAGGTCTTAATTGTATCCCAGGCTTGCCTGAGCACAGTGTGTAGCTGAAAGGGTTACTAATGCTTTGAGATCATTCATGGTCTTAACATGAAGAAAAATGTCTTCTATAAGCCAGGGGTGGTAGTATATAGCTATGTCAGTACTTGGAAGCCTGAGGCAGGAGGATTGTGAAATCTGACCAGAATGGGCATCATAGAATGTTTAAAATAAGATCCCTCTCTCTAATAGCTAGATCTTACCATAAAACCAACTAAACAGAAAAGTCATACATTTTTGCAATATAATATACATCATATATGATTAAAAAAATTGACAGTGAAATCCTGAGGTAAATTTTAATCATCTTACTTTAGAGCAGTTTAGTAATGTGTCCAGAGGTTCTAGCTTCCAGGTGGTGGAGCTGACATTCTCCCCAGCTCTCACCACAGCCTGTCTTCATAACCCTTACATGCCTATGCTTGGAGAGAATGCAGAGGAAAGAAGGCCTGAGCTGGGAATGGAGTATTGTCTAGCAACATCAGATTGAGAAACATCCCTATTTTGAGTTCTGTGCTTAGTTACGATGACCTCTGTGAAGCCCATTCTTAAATTGCGTATGGTTGTAGGTCAAAGCACACATAAAATATTTACCTAAAATATACAGTTACTTTGAACTATTAATTTTAAAAAGGAAGGGATTACTTGTGGTACAAAAATGTTTCCTCCCATATGTTACAGTACACTGTTTTAATAGTAGAAAAAAAGTGAAAGGAAAAAAAACCTGACACAGTGTGTGAAAATGATTGCTGTGTGGTTAAAGTGTTATTACAATTCATATTGATTAATAATTTTGCTCTACACTGTAAACTAGAATGTTTTAATTTGAGGTTTCATTTTTAACTAAAAATTTAGAATTGTTATAATTTTGATCTAGGCTAGAAATGTTTTTTCATTTAATTTCTTTTTGTTATAGGAAGAATAGATCAGAAAAGATGCAGAGAGGGAAGTTCTACATACGATAAGGTGGAGTCAGTGTGTTCACAGATAAAAATAACACAATAAAAATAACACAATAAAATAACAGAAAGTTGAGATTTTGTTGGAAATTCAGAATGTTATCTTAAATGTAATTCACTTGTTTTGCTATGTTATCGTGATATCCTTAACTGGTCTTAAGGTCTGTCACTAGCTCTTTTATGTTTTTCTGAGTACTACAAACCCTGTTTTCTAGTTTGCAAAAGGACTGCTTCTTAGCTAGTTTCAGATTATATTGCTGTAATTTAGATGTGTGCTAGATAACATTGGAATAACTTCCATTTGAGATTTGTGCCTACAATTAGGTAAGTTAAATCACATTAAGAATTACATTGCATCTATCTTTAGTTAGATATTTCTGGGCAAATAATATTTTTAAAAGGTTAACATAGATAATAGCTTTTAGACACATCTTTTACCCCAGAAGTAATAGTTTCCCAAGATGCTTATGCTGTAGATATTCAAGGCCTTTTATCTATCTATCTATCTATCTATCTATCTATCTATCTATCTATCTATCATCTATCTATTCATGTGCTGTATGTATGTGTTGTGAATGTGCATATGTGTATAAATAGACCAGCCTTTGGTTTTTAGTTTTGACAGTAATGAAGTCCAAATGTTGTAGTAAGTCATATTTTATCCCAAAACTCTGAATACTGGTCATGGTTGAGCTTGGAATATGTTAGCTTGAAGACTTCAGAAGTGGAGTCATATCCGCGGGTGAATGGAATTCTCATAGATTGACCAGTAGAATGTTTGTTTCAGTGGCATTTCCGAGATTGCCTTTTACTAGGACTGTTCATATTCTAGTGCTGTCAGAGAATATTCCAGGTAACTATTTTGGATGCTAAGGTTTGAAATTTCCTAGTAAGGAATTTCTAGAAGTAACTTCTGTCTTCAAGGGCATAGACACAATTCTATAGACACAATCTGTTTGTTGCATTCAGATTTATAGTAACAAATTCAAGGGTGTTGCTCAGGAAGAGGACCAGTTGGTAAAGGGCTTGCCTAATATTCATGAAGCCCTGGCTTCTCTCCCAAGCATTTCATCAAAGAGAGAGTGTTTACAAGAGGTATACAACAGAGAGTGTTGTATACCTATAATTCCAGCGCTCGAGAGGGGAAAGCATGAGAATCAGAGGTTCAAGATCATCCCTGATTACATAGCTAGTTCAGTACTTCCTATGCTATGTGAGACCCTGTCTCAGACAAAAGACAGTAAGAATATTTAATCTGATGAAGTGGCTTTTATCATCAGTTGTTGATCTTTTATGCAATTGAGAAATCCCAAGCTACTTAAGGCAGAGAGGAAAGTAGCACATTGTTAGCCCGAAGGCGGCAGCTAAGCCTGGTGATTAGGCTTCAGTGTCTTCAGAAGCAGGGAAGGTAGATCATTGCCTGATGTCATATTCATACTTCTCTAACAGTGTTCTTGAGATATTGCAGACTCTTGAGAATCATAAAAACACCTTGTAGAAATATGGCCAAGTGGTAAAATTATGTTTCCTGAAAAGAAATTAAAATTTCATGGAAAGTAAAATGTGAAAGCCAGATTCTTCCTTTTTTAGAGGTGATGGTAGAAGGGTCAGCCACTAGGTTTCATATATGAAAAAGCAGAAAGTAAACCAGATAACAGGTAATGAGCCCCTGGAAACCGTAGGGTGTTCAGCAGAAATCTCAGTAACAGGATTGGGCTCAAGTGGTTGGTCTAGGCGGCCACTTAGGCCCCCAGAGGGACACAGCCCTTTTCTCTTGCTGTTGGTCACTCATCAGCACTGATGGAACTGTGGCACTAAAGGGACTTCATGTGCTCCAGTTCCAGGATGCAGAAAAATCAAGCTATAAGTGGGCTGGAAGCCTCCTCCCCTCGTTTTAACTCTGTAGTGTTAGACAGCCTACTCAACTGCAGACCCCAAGTGCTACACTGTTGACTGGCTGGGCAAAATGTGCCCACTGGGTACAAAAGTGGCAATAATCAGTAATAGGGGAACCACATGCTTACTGATCAGGTTTTAGGCCTGCACCACTGGAAGGAATCCACATCTATTAATACCAACTTGGTTAAATTCCTTCGCCTGGAGAGGTCATAGGCCCCTGAGGGAAAGGAAGTTCCTGCTATTTTTTTCTGCTAAGTGGATATGAGTGTCCATCAAATTGTTGTCTAAGTAATTGTGTTTGTACCCATAGGTTAAGTGCTACTGTAAACTTTGGTCGGAGATGTTCCTTTTTTGCAGTAGGTGGCAGTAACTGCAGACTTAGAACTGGTCCAAGTGCTGAGAATAAGGGATTGTTATCTGCTCAGCCATAAGTAGGAATTCTATATCCCTCACTTCAAGGCTTGGGAATATTGCAGAAGATGGGTGGAAAGAATATGAGAGCCAGAGGAAGGAGTGGAATGAATTGGAACACTCCTCAGAATATGACATCACCATTGAATGCTTGATCTCACAGCAGTTGTGGTTCCTAGCACAAGACCTGTGCAAGATTGTGCCTGCCAACATTCTGTCTTGGGTGGGTACAGAAAGAGGGAGAAGGCCCCAGGAACTCTCCTGCTCAGGTCCTATAGGCAAATAATGGTAGCTAGGGGACTAGGACCCACGAGATCTCACTGCTTTCTAAGGATCTATGGCCAGTTAATAGTCCATTTGGAGAGGGAGAGGCATCTTCAGTAGGTAGCACTTATGAGGACTGTATGCTCTGTAAATTATCGTTCTCCCAGAACCCTAGAGCAGCAACCCTAAGGAAACTCACTTGCTTATCAAGAATACAGGCACGACAGTAGATGAGCACTGTGGTTGGGGCAGGGGTCACTGGGAGCCAGTGGGGACAGAAGATAGGCAGGAGATTAGGGATGTTCGAAAGTATGTTATTTCTGATAACCTTAATGGGAGAATAGTGCTAACAATGTTCTCATTTTGAGGAAGAACCTCAAATATATATTGGGACTTGATATTCAGATTTTTCTTGGCATTTTCCATTTTATATGATATCTCGTTAAAAAAGTGTTGATTGAAACTGACTTGGCAATCTTTTCTGGTTCCAGATCATTCAACTTCAAGTGGCACATTATCTTTTAAGCCTAGTCGATCGTTGCTCACTCTTCCCACTGCCCATGTGATGCCATCTAACTCCACTGCTTCAGGTTCCAAACACAGGGAGTCTTCTTCAGCATCAGATGGCTCGAAGTGGAGCACAAGCATCATGCAAACCCTGGGAGACCATGGTAGAGGGGACCAGGACTCCTCACTAGACATGAAGGACTTCAGGCCCCTCCGGAAATGGTCATCTTTGTCCAAACTTACTGCCCCGGATAACTGCAGCCAGAGTGGCATTGTATACACAGAAGAGCTGAGGAATGGCTTGGAAAAGACAGGGAAGGGCAAGGCTTTCACATACCACTTAAGGACCTTTGGGCCTAGTTGCTTACATGACAGTATGGAGATGCTTAAGCTGGAAGACAAGGAAATAACTAAAAAGCGGTCATCAACTCTGGACTGCAAGTATAAATTTGAGAGCTGCAACAAAGAGGATGTCAGAGCTTCTTCCTCTGCTCTTAGGAGACAGACTGTAGACATGACATACAGTGCCTTACCTGAGAGCAAGCCCATTGTGACAGGCTCAGAGGCTTTTGAGTCTCCAAAGTATCTAATGCTGGGCCAGCAAGCAGTAGGTGGAGTTCCCATTCAGCCTTCTGTGAGGACTCAGATGTGGCTTACAGAGCAGCTAAGGACAAACCCATTGGAAGGCAGAGCCACAGAGGATTCTTACAGTTTAGCTCCCTGGCAACAGCCACAGACTGAAGAGTTTCAACAAGGAAGTGAAACACCAATGCAGGTAAGGCTCAAAAACTAGTGTTTGCTTCCCTCTAATGGATATTTTGTGTATTGCATCAACTTTATGTCTGCTTCCACTACAGGATCCTCTCTCCATCTCTCACAGTACAAATGCTAGAAAACTGACACATTATATTGATAAGAAAATCTTACAGATTCATTTGAGACACATTAACACAATGACGTTAAACATTGCACTTAATGTGGCTTTTGCTTTCTCATTCATTAAGTAGGTATAAAAATAAAACATTCAGTCTAAAATGTGAAATAGCTGACATGATGTCATAAAAAGAAAACTGACTTGGAAAAATAGGTCTTGGATTTTTTTCTGATCATATCACATTTAGAACCTGTAGTTTTTCTTTTTCTTTGTAAGTTAGTGTTTTATTTTTTAAATTTGCATACAAAGTGTTAATTTTATTATAGGATTTTCCTTCATGATTTTTCTTGGTCCTCTACCTCTCTTCAGCCCAGTTTCATACTAGCTTATTATGTTCCCCACAAGACCCTGTTTTCTGTCATGTCACATATATTCTTCTACCTTCTTTTTTATTCTACCTCCATCTTAGCCCTTCCTAGTTTCATAATTGTTAACCTTCATATACATAAAAATTAAAGGAGCACACCTTTAATCCCAGCTCTTGGGAGGCAGAGGCAGAGGCAGGCAGATCTCTGAATCCAGGACAGCCAACGCTATGCACTGTGGAGTAAAGGCTCAGTTTTGACTCTTCCTAGATGATAGAGGGAAAACATAGCTAATGGGAAACTCCTGTATGATTGAGAACAGTGGTTCCTAATCTGTGGGTTCCAACCCCTTTATGGGATTGAGTAACTCTTTAACAGGGGTTACCTAAGACCATCTAAAAGCACAGATATTTACATTATAATTCATAACAGTAGCAGAATTAGTTATGAAGTAAGCAACGAAATAATTTTATGGTTGAGGGTCAGCACAACACGAGTAACTGTACTAAAGGGTCACATCATCGTGAAGGTGCTAAACTTACATCCAGAGAGGGTAGGTGATATTCTCAAGAAATTTCCTTTGTGGTTGAAAAAAACCGTCTGCCTTCATTTGGTTTAGGATATAGGTTACCAGTAGTCTTGGCTCTTTATTCTGTGTGTTGATGAATCTTACCCATAATATCCCAAATTGACTGTGTAAGGTTGTGAGCAAGTATTGACTTGGTTCAGGAGAGATGCTTAATTTACATGTGCCCCTTGTATTCCATGTTTTCAAGGTGGGGTGTGGAGAATGTGGACTTCTATGCATACAGTTAAGCTCATCTGGGCATGGCAGTGCACACCTTCAATCCTAGCACTTAGGGGCCAGAGGCAGGTGGATCTCTGTGAGTTCAAGGCAGCCTGGTCTACAAAGCAAGTCTAGAATAGCCAAAGCTACACAGAGAAACCCCGTCTCAAAAACAAAACAAAACAGATTCTCTTAAGCTCACAGTGAATCTGCCCCATGGTGGTTAAATAGTGAACTCTGTTGCTAACTTTTTCTTGTGTTCCTTGGAGTATAGTTGCTAAGAAATGAAGATGAAATTTTGTACGTATATAAATCATAAAGTGGTTTGATCAACCAATGTATTGGCAACTAATACTTTTAACATGTTAGTGGAGACTTTTCTATTATTTAAATGAAGATTTTGATTGAATAAAATAAAAGACTTTTTTTCTTTAAAATGAATTGTGAATAAACAAGTCTGGCTTATAATTTGGATTTTATTTTTTTCTTTGAAAAGATTTTTTTATTTTCATTATTGTTGCATGCTCTTTTGCCTTTGAATTTTCAACTGAGATGGTCTACATACCATCAATGTGATGACACAATGCAAGCACATTTTATGACACAGGCAGCTTAAAAGTATCTAATATTTCATACAAGCTTTATAAATTGATTTGTCTATGTTTCTATTTCTTGTGTCTATATAATTTATCACATAGTTTCAAGACATTAAAAAATTTGGTGTTAGCTTATAACCAAACCTTCTTATGTATTCACATTTTGCCAGAAGACTCTAAAGCAAAGGCTAAACAATATCTGCTAGAAAATTCATTATTTTATGTAGGCCCACCTGCTTGTGTTTGTCTTAGGAAATCTTGATTTTTACTTTATTTGGTGGAAGCCGTGCCCTCCCTGCCCTTTATAACACAAAATTATTTATAATTAGAACATTTCTTATAGTCAATAGCATATAATTGCATAGCAGATTCACCAAAATCAAATATTTATTTGAATATAGGTGATTCTGTTTGAATATTATAGGTAAACTTTTTAACTACTATGTAAAAGGCAGCATTGACTGTTTAATGAAGAGAACTCTATAAGTTGACAGTTAATACCTTGAAGCTGATGTACTAGTGAGCAATGTAATAAAATGTAATAAAAGACTTTTCAGCTGTGGTTTTACTTTTCCTATCAGTTCAGCCAATTACAGAATGTACATACGTTTACATAGGTAATTACTCAGACCATTTATCAATGGCTCTCAACCTGTGGGTTGTGACCTCTTTGGCAAACCTCTATCTCCAAAGATATTTACGTTACAATTCATGGTAGTAGCAAAACAGTTAAGAAGTAGCATTGAAAATAATTTTATTGTTGGCAGTCACCACAACATGAGGAACTATATCAAAGGGTTGCAGCATTAGGAAGGTTGGGAAACCCTGATTTAGGTGATTATGTCATCCATGCTTTATAGTTTTCTTGATGGGCATTTCCAGCCTTCACTGAAGAGACCCTATTAATATTGGACTCCTCTTTTGGCTGCTCTTTAGATAATTTCTGAACCCAAACATCTCCCTTTCAACCAGGGATCCAGACAGTTTGAGTCAGCATGCCCTTAGCTGATCTGTTAGGAATCAAAGTAAGTATTGATGCTTTCTATCTTTATGGTGTCATTATGGGAATATATCTAATTATAATTCTCTTCCTTAATAATTGCTTTGTTGGTAGCATATCTTGAGCTGGACTTAAAATTATGGGATTACAAAGTAGAGGTATAAAATGTTTTTATATTTGACCCTATTTAAGTTAACTAAATTTTGGCAGATATATTTTCCACTAGAGTTTTTTCCTCCTATTCTTATAGTAGTTATTGAAAGATATAGAAAGATATAGAAAGAGAAATGAAAATATAATCGGTATTTTATTTTATTGTTTCATGTTCTTGTCATTCTTAATTGACCGATGATTGTAGACCTTGCTTGAGTATTTTTTCTAACAAAACAGAGCAAATTATCCTTAAAAAAAAAAAGAATTATAAAATAGTATTACTAGCTTAACTACTTGGGAAAGCAACTGTTTTCTCTCTGGGAGATAGAAGAAAAGAGCTGTATCTTATTACAGATAATATATTGAATAAAAGTTCATGCTTAAATATAATGGAAGGATTAGTATTTGGAGAGAGAGATCAGAATTTAAAATTTTATAGTGCTTGAAATATCTTGTCCTGTTATCAGAAATGTGGTTGGAATAGGAGAAACCCTGTTAAACTAAGGCTATACATGTCAATGTCAAATTCAGGAGAGGTTCTGGCTTTTAGTGATTCTCACAGTCACATAGGAAGATGTTGATCAGCAGGCCCTAGACAGAGGAGACTTGTGCTTAAAGTAAGTACTTGAATTCCACAATTCTTGAGAAAAATAAGTGATGAATTTTATATGAGACTAGGCTCTTTTCCCTATTTGATTCTCATAAATATTAAAATTATTATTTTAAATATTATATTTAAATATTAGTGTTTAGAAAAATTAAAAAAATTAGTGTATAGAAAAAGGACATGATCTTTATTTGAAGGTATTTGTTCTGACAGAGTAACTACTAAGACTTCTGAATAGTCATCATTATCATCATCATGCATGTGAGGACCCAGGGAGATAGTTTGAATAAGAAAACTTCATTTATATTATTATTTTTCTAATTTGCTGAGGCCTGAATACTTAGTTCCTGTAAACAAAGTTGGCAACACAGTATAAATTTCATTTATCCCCCAAACTGAAGTTATAAAGTGAGCTTTCTAGTGCTGGATATAGAAAGTGAACTTGTTTTGCAGTGCTGTTTCAAAATTAAAACTCATACTTCATTGTCAGAAATATTTAGGAAGGAAATTTATGAGCCATTTTGAGGAAATTGGCAGCTACATTATGCACACTTAGTCACTGTTAAGTTTCTTTACAAGATCCAGTAGATGAACACATTGGCTAACAATTTGTTTCACTCTTAAATCTTGACCTTCACAAAGACCTTCTCGGCAGGGAGAAGGCTGCGTTGCTTCTCTTGATGGAGTGCTAGGTTTTAAGCACAGCTGGCATGTTGCGGATGTGGACATGACGGCAGCACTTCATAGAAGCATCACAATGATGCAGATCAGTAGGAGACATATCAAGATGAGACAGAAATTGATAAAGAGGTTCTGGAGATTTTGACGTGCTTGCTGAGGCATTTCAATAGTTGAGGCCCTCCTGATAGCAGAGCGAGTGAGGTATTGGACTTTTTCCATGATGCCAGGAAGATTCAAAAGCAAGAAGACTGATGTTTTAAGTGGTCAAGAGAAAGATAAAAAGCTGGCAACAGGCAGTCAAATGTGAGCTGTCTTCTTTTAGGAGGCCTGGAATGTAAACAGTAAATTGATTAGGTTCATACCTAAATCCATTCTCTGGATAGATATATACAATTTTGCATCAGTTCCTTCAGTCTATATTTTATAACATCAACTGTCTCGAGACATCTCCATGGACTCTAGCTCTCATATGTTAGTGTCTCATTTGCCCTGTCTGAGTTATAGGTACTGTAGTCCTCTCAGGTATTACTTGATTTATGGAATATTTTGGGCTATTCCTTTGGTTACGATGGTTTCTATAAATCTGTTTCTCTGTAAACACAATTGATGTGATCAATTATTATTATAAATGTTTCAGAAGTAGTCTCATAAAAAGAAATGCATATCGTAAATTCTATCTTGGATCTTCATTTTAGTCCAAAATAAAATAGTTCAATGAGAAGATAAATATGAAATAAAAAACAGATTGTAGCCATTTGTCATTGTAGAATCATACAGTGTATTTTGATCCAGTTCACATCCTCTTGACTACTCCCAGATCCAGACCTTTGTTGAATGTTATTGTAAACAGCACTTTAACAAGATGTTGTTGGGTACAAAAGACTGCCCAGTGTGGAAGGCACAGTAAAGATTACTGTACTCAACTACGACAGACAGTTCTAGTAATCTTGCTTGCCACAGGTGGGGTTGTGTATGCCTTTCTTTCAAAGCTTCTAAACTGCTGCTGAATATGAAAGGTTCAAAGCTTTGATAATTTAGTAAACACAATAAAATAAAGCTTATTAATAAATAGATATAGATTTGAACTCTCTAGAGACAGCAGCTACTTTCACTTCAAGATTATTATTTTATCACTAACATTTTGTTTGTCTCTTGTTTGGAGACAGGGTGTTGCTAGGTAATCCTGATTGGCCCAGAACTTACTACATGGACCAGGCTGGCTTCAGATTGGAGGCCACCTTTCTGCCTTTGGTGACTGAGGGAAGGATAACTGGCATGTACTACGATGCTAGGATAATAGTTTGTTTTTATTAGAATGCTTTTTTAAAAAATCAGTTTTAAAACAAGACTAAAAAATAAAACGCAGTAATTTACTATCTAGAGATAACAATGTCTAATTTGTTGATAAATCATTGTCAGCAAGATGTTACTATACATTCTAGCTGGCAGGTTTGATTTTTCTCCCTAGTTTATACTTTTGCCCCATACCTGAGACAAGTGCAGAAGAGAGGAGTAAAGAGGTTAGGAAAAGGGAAGATTTGTACCAGGCAGAACCAATTAGAACTTGGTATTTACTTTTATAAAGAGACTGTGTGGCATATAAAAGCCAGATGCGGTAGGTCCCAGTTCTTTACCTTGACTCTGTTATTTGCTGAATTGTATAATAGGCTGGATGTCATTTGGCATGTGTCTCTGTCTCATGTGTATGCCTAGGATAAGGAGCCAAACAGTCAATTTATACCAAAATCTATTCTCAGGAGTTAGTAACAGCTTATGGTTGTCTATCATGTGTTGTTTAGGACAGGTGGCAGAATTTATCCATCAAATTTTTAGTTTAAATGGGAACTCAAACCTGGCAAATTTAATTACTTTTGTTTGAATTCTCCAGCGAAAATCCTATAGAAATGAAGTAATTTTATTAAGAAAATGCAAGTTTTAAGTAGCATGTGCTTCTAGTAGTTTATTATAGATTTAGCGAATTTATAGTGGTAGAGAATTTATATTTTTGACAAGTCTCTTTATAGGAAGATATATAATGAAGTATAGGTATGAGAGAAATAAAAATTAGCAATGATAATTCCTATTTGACCCTATATATTTTTGTAAGGTTTTAGTGGTCATTAAAAGGTGTGGTTCATACCTGTAATTCCAGTGTGTGTGAGGCCATGACAGGATCATAAATTGAGGGCAGCCTAGGCACATGAAAACCTAGGTCAGGTGAAAGTTACGACACACATGCACATGAACGCACACACACATATGCAGAAGAAGGGACCTTTTTAGTAGTTCTTCATAAAGCACGTAACGTACCGGAGCCTGTCTCTATCCCAACACTTAGTGATTCAGTCCCATTGAATGTCTCTTCTGTAGACACTGTATTGCCTTTTGTGACTATGCCTTTTGCACATGTTGCTTTGTCTCTGCTTAGAATGTCACATCTATCCCTTTTGCCTTTTGATTCTCAGCCAGACAAAACTGAGTTGATCCTTAAAGCCCAGTTTAAATACTATGTCCCAATAAAACCTTTTTAGTCAATAAAATAGAATTATAAACTTTGCTGAGTTTTAATAGTATCAGGTGTTGCTATCAGGATATCTGTCTGGTTACGCTGTCATTTCAGAATGTGTCAGAGTCCCCAACTTGGACTTCTAGTTTGTGAGCGAAGGAAGCATATGTTTGTTCTGTATCTTTGTGCATAAAGTTAACATGATTTTATAAAGTCAAAAGTTGAATGAAATTGTTATGACCAAAACTTTTAGAAAATTGTTCACAGAGGCAGTGCCATAATTACCATAATATCCAGTTTGATTTATAGAATGATATTGAAGTCATCAGCATTTTTCTTCAGTGTCTTCTCTTCATATATGGAGAGCATATGGCTTAGAGGAAAGCTTTCCTAAGTTAATGATTCTTTGCTTAGCTGGACCTTACACTGAATTAGGCTTCACACGAAAGGGTAGTTGATGTTTGTGAGATACAAATAGATATACTATCAATTGTTGAAAATACAGTTTCAGGGGCTGGAGAGATGGCTCAATTGTTAAGATCACATACTGCCCACCCACGTGACAAGGGTCTGGTCCCCAGCACTCAGTCTAGGCTGCTCACAACCACCTATAACTCCAACTCAGGGAATGAAGCACCGTCTTCTGGCTTCCACAGGTACCTTCACATAAGTGGCAGACTTTCACATAGACATACACGTACACACAAATAAAAAAATCTAGAATAAAATAAGACATGATTGATATACTAGAATATCATGTAATAACACTTTTTATTAAAAATTTGTTTTTCTATAGAGAAATTGGATGAAATATGATGAAATGTTGATGGTATACATGCAAGTTTTGTTTCAGTTTATTTTTTGTGCTATAATTGTGTTTTTTCTGGGTTTCTAAAGTTTATATGGTAATAATAATTAAGCTATGTTTCTCCATGGTGGAGCTTCATCTCATATGCTGAGAATTGGGAAGCTGAGAGTTAAGAAGAGTGCAGACCTAAGATAGGAGCTGTGTGTTCCCTCACTACAAACCTCACAGTTTGTAACCTGGGGTTAGGGATCACTTTCTTTTCTGTGCTGACCACTGTGCTGTACATTTGGAAATCCTTTCATTTCTTCTTGTCTTAGAGCAGCACTTGTAGTACAGTAGTATTGGATGGACAAAAAAACCCAGTTTATTTTATGTTAGCTGATCTTTTTAACGAGATCATCTTTTAGGATGCTCAGAAATAGTGTGTTGGGATGTAAAGTTAGCTCCCCGCATCCTTCTTAAAGGATGACCAGATACATGTTTATTGGGTGTTTGCTAGGCACATGGAGAGCCTGCTCACTTGTATATTTCATTTAAAATTTACTTTTCTTGACTGTAGTACCGGAGTACTGAAAATACAATATGTGTTTGGTTGTGGAAAAAGTTAGATCATGTTTCTGAGCTGCATGTAAGAATCAAGAAGGGAACCTGTGTTGTGTATGTGTGGGGTCTGTTCTAATTTTTGGAAGGATTGAATGCCATCACCAATTTTTTACTTTTCTTAGTGGGAGCTTGCATGGTCTTCCTTTCCTTTTCCCTCTCTGTTTAAAAAAGTTAAAATTGGAACTTAATAATCAAAGAAGTATTTTATTATTTTTTAGTAAAGGAGGAAAGAGGAAAACCAAAAGCAACAGTAATCCTTCAAGTCTCATACTGTAGTTGTGGTAGCTCATGCCTTTAGTCTTAGCACTCCAAGAGAGAGGCAGAGGCAGAGGCAGCCTGAGCTCTGTGAGTGTGAGGCCAGTCTGGTCTATAAAGCAAGTTCAGGGCAACCAGGGATACACAGTGAGACCCTATCTGGAAAAAAAAAAAAAAAAAAAAAAAAAGTAGAAGTAGGCTGAAGTCATCCAAATCAAACCCTGCAGGAATCCTTAACCTTGACTTTTTCTGCAACAAAGTCCACTTCAACAATATTCTGGGTCAACAATATTTTGGGTATATTCTTGCGAGAAACAAACCTCAGTAGACTCAGAAAACGTTTGGTGGCCTGTCTTATGACTTACAGTAATCAACACATTAACACTTGTGTGTATGGTGAGTAGTAACCCCACTGTAAACATTTGCACTGCTTTGTAGAACTTTCTGGACTTTAGGTTTTGGGCGTTGCTTCTGCCAAAGTCACGTTCTTGAAATTCCTCAAGTTTATTTTTGAACTGTAAGCTTTTACTGCCCTCTGGTTTTCTCTGCTTGTTTATTACGCTTTTAGGAAACCTGGATACATTTTGCTTGAAAATTCAAATACTACACATCTAGGCTCACAGTCTAACAGATACAGTATTTTTTTCCCATTTGATTAACTTAGATGATTAGAATTCTCCTTAGATTGAGTTTGAGCAAGCAGGATTTACTTTAAGATTATTTGGAGTTCCCCCCCCCCCCCCAGCTACTTACCTCATTACCATTTCTACAGATAAACCAAAGGTTTTTTTTTTTTTTTTTTGACTGTTGAACTACATTAGGACAGTTTATAATTAGATTTATAATCAACCCTTTAGCTTAACAAAGTTCACTGTGAGAGTAAACTAACCTGGGCCCATGGGCCCCTCACAGAGACTGGACCACCAACCAAAGAGCATGCATGGGCCGGACCTAGACCCCCTTACACATATGTAACAGATGTGCAGCATGGTCAGAATGTGGGTTCCCTATCAGTGAAAATAGGGTTTGTCTCTGACTCTGTTCTCTGGCATTGTATCCCTTCCCTCTAGCCGGGCTGCCTTGTCTGGCCTCAGGGGGAGAGGATGCACTTAATCCTGCTGTGACTTGAGGTGCCAGGGTGGGTTGGTACCCTTTAGCCCCTCCCCCACTTCTCTGAGAAGGAGGAGAGGGGGAAATGGGGGAAGAGGGGCATGAGGGCAGGATTGGGAGGAGGGTGGGGAGGGGGCTGGTATCAGGCTGTAAGGTGATTAAAAAAAGATTACTAAATTGTAAACTGTAAAGTTCAATTTGAAATTCCTCATGGTGGCTGGGGTACCTGACCTTTGTTGTGCAAACTAAAGTTTCAGAGGCTTTTCTACCTGGTTGTGATAAAAAAATTGTGTAAGCAGAACGAAATAGTCTTGATTTTTAAATTGCCCCCAATAAAGTAACATCCTGTTTAAATTTCTACCTTGAGGAAGATTCATTGAACAACCAGATGGAAATCTTCCTTCTGAAATTAGCTCATGGCTATTGTTGACTTGTCTGTAGGTTTATTTTTATTGATATGTATTATTTTATATGTGAAATTAACCAAGGTATTTGTCTGTATTAACATAGTTCTGGTTTTGGATTGTGTAGTCCAGACTGGTCTTAAACTTGCTGTGTGTGTCACACTGGTCAGTCTTGAGCGCTGCAGTCCTGCTTAGCCTGGGATTACAAGTGTGTGCCACCATGGAAGTGTTTTTAACCTTATATTAAGGCTTCATTCAGAGTCTGTATTTTTTAAAAAGCAGATGTGGGGAGAGAGTATGGGGAAGTACTAAGGAAAATTGAATAGCACTTAGCAAATACATCCCTGCTGATACTGAGCGACTACTCAGCTCATGAAAGTCCTCAAGATGAAATACAAGCTGTAAAGCACTAGAGGTCCTCAGTTGACTGTGGCTTTACTGAGGCAGGCTTTATTTTCACGTGTTTATTTGGTAAGGCAGCTTCAGAATAGTGTTGGGTAAAGAAACTGATGGACCACTCTCAGAAATGTCCCAAGAGACTGCTGCTTATCCCTTCATGCTTCTGTAGTTTAGGAGGATTATGTTCTTGATTCCCAACTCACAGTTTTTGCTTTTGTTAGTCTGATCAATGTGAATTCATACATTAAATGAAAATTATTTTTGTAATGTAAATAACAAAGCAAGGTTCTTTTTTTCAGGAACCTTGAAAACAATGACTTTGAGTGGTTTTTAAATGGTAGAGTCAATGGGTAAGAAGTGAAATTGCTGAAATGTAGGGCTTGAATATGGGAGTGGAATAAAGCATTGAAAGTATTTTTGTGCAAAACTATGAGGAAGAATTAATCTGATTTTTAGATAGAAAGTTAAATGCACTGGAGATATATTTTTTGTCAACGATGCAAGCTAAATAATTGGATAATGTAATTTGATTGTGACATGTTAATGTCTGTGTGATTATTTTGAATGTTTCTAACTAGAACTTATTGCTTGATAATCAAAGACATGGGTGACTTTGTGCCTGGCTTTGACAGTGGTGTCTAGACTGTCACACAGAGTAGTGCAGATGCAGCACCTGTGGCTCTTAGGTGACATGGAGCGCTTGCAAGTTAACACACGTGTGCATATAAAGTACGTGTCTCCTAAAGTAACCATTTACAGCAGTTAGCACTTGCGTCAGTATGATGTGTTTTAACCATGCCAGTCAGGGACTGGGATGAGATGTGCAGTGGCCTCTCCTGCTGAAGAGGAGGAGTTTGCATGTAGTTGTGTGAACCTGATTGGCTCACTGTGTTTTAAATCTGTTTTCCAAGTTGTGTAGAGATGCAATGCCAAAACACAAAAAATTAAATCAGAGGGAGTTTCTGTGTATAAGCGCACTTAAAAAATTGTTCTTCAGAACAGGAAGTTTATGCTATCTGTTTATACTATCTAATATATAGAGGTAATCTATACTTTCATCAGTCTCAATGTTTTAATATATAATTTAAATTATATAATCAATGTAATTCATAATTTAATTAATTAATATTTTATCTCTTGAAATTTTTAATGCAAATATTATGTGTTAATAAATTGGTGAGATTAAAAAACATGTTAATATAGCACCCAAGTACAGTGATTTATATCTCATTATGTCTACTAAAGTACTGCTAAAATAATTTGATGTGCTTAGGAAATGACATCGATGCAACTCCTTGGTAAAGCAAATGATCTCATTTCTTTCCATATTGAAACCTCTATAGTTCATAATTTGTATATCTTTTATATTTTCTTCATTGATTTTTTATCTGACTTTTTGTGCTTTGTTTCAAAGTGTACCTTTGGAAACAAATTACTTCAATGCCATCATAAAGCTATGTAGAAATGCATAGTTCAAACATATCTGGCACTGTGCTTTATATTGAAAATTTTAACTACAGTCTCTAATTATACAATTTTCTTAACCTGCTAAAGATGCTTTAATAGCAGAATTTATATTTTTCTTCTAGAAGTTGGTTACGGTTTTTGGAACAAAATATGATGTAGGGAAATTCATTACCTACCCCCTACTCCATTAGAAAAAAACTTTTGCAAACACCATTGAAGTTTGAAAATGTTATTTAATAGTAGAAGTGCAGGGACCAGGGAGATGGCTCAGCAGGTAAAGGCAGGGCACTTGGTGCCAAGCCTGATGACCCAAGCTAGATTTCTAAAACCTATGGTGGGAGGAAAGAACTGACTCCTACAAACTATCCTCTGTCTGTCTGGCTGGCTCACACCCAGACATGCACGCACACACACTAGATAGGTAAAATGTAAAAAGTACAGATATATGGCAAATAAACTTGACACTAAGTGTCATTGTGTACTATCAATAAAAGTATTTTTATGAATACAAAAGCATTAAAAAGCAGTTTAGGGTTCCTCAACATTAGAAGCCATATTGGCAATGTTTTTGCAAGACAGGAATGCTGCTTAGCGGATTCCAAAGTTGTGTTTGTCATAAGCAGCAGAGTTAGAATTACAGGAATTGAGAATTATAGAGGTAAGTTTTATTTAACATACATAACTATGATATAAGTAGTGAAATAAAAATTTGTATAATTTTCTATGTTGTCTAATAGATTTAAGAGTGAGAAAACATTTTGTTTAGTAAATTGAGATTTGTAACAAGAGATTTGTAACAATAAAGTTTTGGTTGCACCTCCATTCTTGGACATTTTGTTTTACTTCTAAATTTATGGCAGGAAATATAGGAATACTGGAGAATAAAAACTTGACAAATGTATTTCTGTTACTAAATGAATGTTTATCAACTTTCTTATTTTACGAATGTTTGTATGTCAAAATATCATTTTTGTTTTTAAAGTGTATTATTTTTCTGTCACTTAAGAAAGACTTGTATTTATTAAAAAAAAACACAAAACCTCTAACTTGTTCTTTATGTTGTATTAAACTAAAACTAGCCATTCTGTTTATTAAGAAGTTTATTAGAAGTTTATTGTAGAAGTGTTTAAAAGTTTACTGACTTTTTAGAGAGTAAACATTTTCAAGAGCATTTTAAAAGTAGTTTCCATTATCTGTTCTTAAAAAATCTCTTTTATTTTGACACCTTAAGAACCACAAATGATATCAACAAAGTAAGTGTGCTTAAGTGTGCTTGTCCCACAGTTAAAAATAGGTTAAAAGTAAGCTGTGTCCCCAGCTGTAACTAAGTGGCTCAGTCTTGAGCTGTGTTTCAGGAGAGCAACACATAGCAAATGAAACCATTGCTTTTGCATGAAAATTAATTTATCTCTACCACCATGTATGCTAATGTAATTGGGAGGTTTTTAAATTGGAAGGAGCTCATCTCTGAAAAGTCAAAATAATCAGTGACCAAAATTTAAAGATGAATAGAATCTCTTTTAGAGTTATCTAATTTTTACTGTCAGTAAATGGGTAAGCATTTATTTAGAAATTAGGCATTTTGTCATTGCAGTTTCTTTTGTTATCTAGCTTTGAGTAGGAATTTGGGAGATAGGATTCTTTTAAAAATTTGGTAGGTATGAATTACAGAAAGTAAGAATTTCCAAAGTTAATGCTATCATGTCTTACCTTGGCTCCTGTGATCATCACAGTACAGAGTATGAAGCGATGTGAAGTCTATGGGAGCTGAGCAAGGACGGTTTCTGTTCCAGGTTTATGGGAACAGTTGCAGTAGGTGGAGGAGAAAAAGTTCTAGGGAGGTCTTATGATGTCACAAAGGAATTCTAACATTGTGATTGGTTAGCCGTGTTCTTATCACAACGAAACCTTAGAACTTATCTTTCTTTAGGTTTGGAAAGGTTATTAACACTTTGTGCTTCAGTTTTAGTTCTTAATTTTAAAATGTGGTTAGCAGAGATAACCGGAAGTAAAGTAAGTTTGAAGGTACAGCTTTATAGTTCCTTTGGAGTTATACATCTTCAGACTTGGAGATAATCAGATACTCTTGGTGGTGTGGATGGCTAAAACAGTTGTTCTGGAATGCAAGCAGTGTGAGAGGGATGGTGCAGGCTTAACAGGGCCAGGGATATGGGAGCTGCCCTTGCCTTAGGCTGCAGCTTCTAGGGAAGCAAACATTCTCAGCAAGCATTTGATGCCTTTCCCTGGCTTATTTTATGTTTGTGCTTCATGCCTGCCCAGGTATAGGGGAGAGAATGTGTATAAGAAAACTAAGTTAATAATTACTTAGAATTTTGAAAAAGTTTTCGTATAGTTGGAGGAGGGGCAAATGGATTTAACTTTCTGTATTTTCTTCAGTTAGAAGTTTAGCCAATGCTCTTATGAATGAGTCCATATTTCAATAGGTATGTACTGTCTCTAGAAAGATAGCTGTTTATAAATTTAAGCACATAAAGATTTTTTTATAGCTACATTATATTACCACCAAAACCAAATAGACTTTTCATGAGCTGGTACAGTATTAAGGAAAGCTTTCTAGAAAGAAATGGCTTCAGGTTCCTGTCAGGTGTATGGCAGTGAGGCATTGTTTACCCGGTTTTCAAGTCTTGAAATTTAAGTGTTGAAGTATTTCTGAATGTTTTTAACCTAATCTAGCATTTTTTTTTTTTTTTTTTTTTTTTTTGTCTGAAATGTAAGTAAAATTTTAGAAAGTTGAATGACCCTTGGACTTCTGGACTGGCTTCAAACAGAGGCGAGCATTGTCGTCTTCCTGCCTTTTCATGCACTTTATTTCACATGTATGTAAATCAGCACACTCGCAAATCCTAATTTTTCAGCTTGATTGTTTTGTTTTTTTAGAGAAGCTATTTGTAATTTTTAAAGTGCTTATAGCAGAGTAAATTCAGCCTCCCCCTCTTTCCTGTGGGTAACAGAAATGTGTGACTGCAGCTGCTCATGTGTCCTTAAATGGACATGATCCTGGCTTCTTGCAAAGCAAGATGAAGTCCTTCTCTTAAGCAAATCTCTTGTTACTTAATACCAACTGAAAAATACTTTACCAAAGATCTTCTATAAATATTTAGGGAATTTTTTTTTCATTCAAATTGTTTTTTTAATTTATTTATTTTATAAATTACAGTTTATTCATTTTGTAGCCCAGCTGTAGCCCCCTCCCTCAGCCTCTCTCAATCCTACCCTCCCTCCCTCATCTCCTCCCATGCTCCTCCCCACGTCCATTATAGGGGAAGTCCTCCTCTCCTTCCCTTTGACCTTAGCCTATCAGGTCTCATTAGGAGTGGCTGCATTGTCTTCCTCTGTGGCCTGCTAATATTTAGGGAAATATTTACCACTTAAAAGTAAATGATATTGCAAGAATTCCCTATCAGTGTCTGTAGTAATGAAAAGCATCAGTGTTTGGCACTTTCCTTGATGCCTTACAACCAACTGTTTTCTTTCTGTCTTTTTGTTACAAAAGATCACATTATCAGTTGTAAATAACTGCTAGCAATCTGAAGCCTTAGAAGCTGCAGTGGCTGATAGTGACTTATTGACGATAACACAGGTGACGAAGAGCAGATGAGGACTGCGGGAGTTTAAATAATAATTCTTGGTAAAATTAGTGTATTCTAGGGCAAAGGCATAATTTGGCTTTCATACAAATAAGTTCTTAGTTATAAATGATTTATTCAATACAACTTTTTTCAAAGTCTTCTTTGTCAGATACGTGTATTTATTTCAGACTGAAGGTGAGGAAAAACAGATTAGATAATTCTTGGTTGGAGAAGGTAGGGAATAGCCACAGATTAAACATGTCCTAGTTATTTTACATATTTTCAGGTTCACTTAAAAATCACACATGACAAAAGAAAAAAAATCACACATGACAAACACACCTTAGGAAGGCACTATAGAGGCCTGACAATTGGAGGCTGGAATCTTAGTTACACTCTGAAGATGTGACTGAAGACCACCTAGGTTTGCCCTTTTGGGGAGTTAGCTGTGCTGCTCATGAGGATTCCTATGGAATTTTAGTCATTATTTCTATTTTAACAGGATTCTGTAAGCTCAGATTGTTTAGTAACATTGGTCAGTTCTTGAGTGTTGCTCAAAAGTTGCTCCACTTAAGTCTGGAAAAATTTTTTGTCAGTCTTCATTTGGAATCACATTATTATTGGAGTCCACTCTTGGGCACATGACTCAAAGAAATGTGTGGAATGGTATTGTGGCTGAGGGTTTAGCAACAAGAAGTGTACACAGTGATTGTCAGAGATTCCATGACAAGGTATCAGTTTCATGTCAGTGCTCAATTTCCTTTGCCTTCAGAGACTGGACTGGTGACATGGCCATGGACAGATGGCCATAGCTCAGCGTCCTTGAACATATTATGGAAACAGTTACTTGTTGTTTTTAATAAGCTCTCAGTGGAATTTTTTTGTTTATTCGGTTTTGTTTTCTGCAGAGCAGGCAGGTTTACTAAGGGAAATTGAGAAAAACTTCCCAAGAGCCAGAGGAGCCCAAATGAGGAAAGCCTTACTTATTCAGTTTTGACTGTAGACCACAAGCTACTGAATTGCTCATGGTACATTTGGCTCTTGCTGTTGAAATCTCAGATAATTTTATAAGGTTGAGTCTCAGAATCTGTGGATTCTACATCCATGGATCCAATCAACAGCAAAGAGAAAATAATCAAAACAAATTGCATTCTGAATATGTGCAGAGTCACTCTTTCATTATTCCATAAATAATAGTTTGATAGCTCCTTGCAGTTTCTATTACATTCAATGTAAGTTATGTGGAAATGAATTATAGTGTACAGGAAAATGTGTATATGTTGTGTGCATATAGTGCACCGTTTTTATAAGGGACATGAGCATTTGCAGATTTTCGTATTCAAATTAGGATATGGAAGTAACCCTCAAAGATACCAAGGGAAACCACTGTGGCAACTTGAGACCTTTCAAAACATTGAATTTATTATTGCTTTGAAGTTGCTGTCATTAGACATGGCTATAGTAATTAGTGTACAGGGCGAGGTGTACATACCTGTTTCCTAGAACTTGGGAGGTAAAAGCACGAGGGGAACAAGTTTCAAGGTCATCCTAAGCTACGTGGTAAGCCTAAGTCAGCCTGAGCTACATAAAGCCTTGTCAAAAAATAATTTAAAAAAATGTAATGCACTGACAGAGCACCTATACTATACTATACTATACTATGTTATGGCATTATTTTTAAGGAATTATTTATTTTATGTATATGGGTGCTCTACCTGTATGAATATGTGCATGCCGGAAGAGAGCATCAGATCCCAGTATATAGATGGTTGTGAGCTACCATGTGGTTGTTGGGAATTGAACTCAGGACCTCTTGAAGACCAGACAGTGCTCTTTTTATTTTATTTTTAAACTTTTATTAATTACACATTATTCACTTTGTATCTCCCCATAAGCCCCTCCCTCCTGCCCTCCTAATCCCACCTTCCCTCCCCCTTCTTCACGCATGTCCCTTCCCAAGTCCACTGATAGGGGAGGTCCCCCTCTCCTTCCTTCTGATCTTAGTCTATCAGATCTCATCAGGAGTGGCTGCATTGTCATCTTCTGTGGCCTGGTAAGGTTGCTCCCCCCTCAGGGGGAAGTGATCAAAGAGCAGGCCAATCAGATTATGTCAGAGGCCGTCCCTCTTCCCATTACTGTGTAACCCACTTGGACACTATACTGCCATTAGGGAAATGCAAATCAAAACGACCCTGAGATTTCACCTTACACCCATCAGAATGGCCAAGATGAAAAACTCAAGTGACAACACATGCTGGAGAGGTTGTGGAGAAAGGGGAACCCTCCTCCACTGCTGGTGGGAATGTAAACTGGTACAACCACTCTGGAAATCAATCTGGCACTTTCTCAGACAACTAGGAATCAAAGTGAATAAAGTGTAATTAATAAAAAATTAAATAATAATAATAATAAAAATTAAAATTATAAAAAAAATAAATGAACAGTTTCGCTTTATAGAGTTATAGCCAGCCGAGGTAGTACAGCATGTTTCTATATACTTTACATCCAGTTTCTCATTATTAACGTTCTCCATTAGAATGGTATGCTTATCAAAACAATTGTGCATATACTACCATATTTTTAGGAATGTCATTACTTAATTTGGATTTCCCAGTTTTTCTTAATGTGTGTCTCTATTTTTTTAAAGCTACATTTAGTAATCATGTCTCTTTTCTGCTCACTTGGTTCAGACATTTTCCCCAAACTTCCTGCTTAAATGATCCTGGTAGTTTTGAAGAACAATAGATAGTTTACAGCATCTCCCTAAGTCTTGATTGTCTGATGATTCTCTTGTGGTTAGGTTGGTTAATGTGTTTCTGGTATGAAGGTCAGAGGCGTAAGAAGCCACTTCATTGTACTGTCTCTATCAAGGTTAACAGTGATCAAATCACTATGGCAGCTTAACTGAGCAGAAGTGTAGGGCTTTTCAAGGTTGAGGCAAGAGGAAGGTGAAAGTGGCTTTCCTGCTGGTGGTTTTTCTCAAGTGTCAAGTGTAGGCAGTGTGCCCCAAACCCTGTCAAAAGAAAGCCATGCTACACTAATAATAAACCCTGTCAAAAGAAAGCCATGCTACACTAATAATAAACCCTGTCAAAAGAAAGCCATGCTACACTAATAATAAATTAAGCTGCACTGATGTGTGGACTGTATACAGACTTATTTAGAATTCTGTATGTTTCATGCATAAAAAC